CCCCAAAACCCCAAAACCCCAAAACCCCAAAACCCCGGGATTTAAGAAAGAAATGGAAAACAACTGGGAAGGTATATAATATATTTATAATGAACTCATTTTCAGGATTAGCTGAACTTTCACAATTCTCTCCAGATCAAAGTTCTTGCTTTGGAAACAGCATGTTTGCTTGGGAGACAAAAGGCTCTGTCTCTTTTGACCCATTTTAACAATACTCAGCATATTGCTCCAATTTCTCTTTTGAGTAAAGAACATAGCCTAACACCAAACTCCCTTACTAGCACATTGATGAGGGCTTACCAAGATAAACAGAATGATAACTCAGTCTCAGTTTTGAAGGGTTCTACAGATGCTAAATCAAGGAAAAGAAGAACTCCTTCTCTAAAAGGACTCTCAAAAAGAAAAGACGTCGTCTTGAAGTCCCTTCTCAGAAAAATAAGAAGATTTCATTGGACACAGTTCAAGAAAACTACAAGCTTCGGAGTTAAGCAAAAGATATCAATCGAACACCAGAGACTGCTTCTTATTAAGTACATTGAGCATGAATTTGGGATGGAGTCTAATGAAGAGTTCTTGGACACCCTTGACAAGGTCTTGCTCATGAGAGAGATTAGGAATAGAACTGCCAACATTTATAACGACTTGCTACACAGTTATAACAGAAGAAAGCTACAAATCTGAATGAACGATCCATACTTCAAATGCCTCGTGTTCCACTATTCTTTCGAAGTAAACCCCGATGAAATCAATAAAGATGAGGAAGAAGGCTTAAAGATGATTCTCAAGTTATAAACACCACAATGTGATAGACTACCACAGGGCTCACTCTAGTTCATTTACCATAATTGATATCATAAATTTTGATAAATCATTAATAAAACCCTCTTATATCCTAAAACAGCCCCTTCATTTCTTAGCTAAAAATATGAAAGAGCAATAAACTTCAGCTCTCAGATTTTCATCGAAAATTTAGCTCCCTGTTATTACTTTTTTCTTAATAAATAACTTCAAATGTGACAAATTTTGCAGAATAGAAATAGAGGTAAAATTTTGAAATAGAGCCTTATAGCCACTTATTTACTGATTTTAGCTCTAACAGAGCTCTATGATGATCATAGTTTGTTCTGGTTTAAGTACAAATAGCTAATTAAAGAAGCACTATGAGTCCTATCTTCTCATAATTTATCAATCAGAGAAAACAGAAATTCTTCCTTACAATAGGCTGGCATAGTTTGAACATAAAATTTAATGAAAATTCGATAGTGGTCACCTAGAAAAGGCGCTGAAAAAGAAGGTGATATAATTTTCAGAGTTCATGTATAAAATAATTGATCAAATTTTCATATAAAATAGCCAAAAATTATTTCTTTTAATCCGAAAGTGTTTTACCAGGCGTTATGCTTAACCCTTGACTAAATTAGGCATAGTTCTTGTGCACATAAGTAACCATCGTCAGAAATTCATAGATAATTTAGTTTAAGAATCTCTTATTAGAATCTTGATGAAAATTCAAATTTTAATTGATTCAAAATAGAGACAACTTCACACTGGTTCCTTAGAAGTCTGAAAAGCAATGATAATATTTTTATTGACTAGAGAGTCTTTAAAAGGGAGGAAACATCTTTTTGGATATCTCTTCATAAGCAACCGTTCTGAGTGAATTCTCTAGTGTTAAGAAGTTTATTAAATAAATTAATTGAGAATTTGATGGGACGATCTCAGAGGATGATGGTAAGAGAATTAAACCTCCTGAATTTTAGAAAAATTGATGGTTTTAAATAATTATAACAAATTCTATAATTATTTCTATCTAATTCCGCATTTTTATCAATTCAATAGTCTCTTTTATATTTGGGGTTTTGGGGTTTTGGGGTTTTGGGGTTTTGGGG